CTCCTCCTTCCTCCTCCTCCCCCTCCTCGTCCCCCGCTCGCTGCCCGGCTCCGCTCCGCGCCCGCCGCCCAGCTCCCCTCCCTGCGCCGCAGCCCCGCCGGATGTGAAATCACTTCCGCTACCTGTGTGACCTCATAGACACCGCCCCCCCCCCCGCTCCCTCCCCCTCCCCGGAAGCGGCGGCGGGCTGGCAGCGCTGGCGGGCGGGCGGCGCGGGGCATGCCGGGAGTTGTAGTCCCGGCCCGGCCGCCATTTCGCGCGGCGACGCCATGCACGCCGGGAAGCGTAGTCCATCTTGTGAGGGAGCTGTGAACCGCCATCTTGTGGCGGCGGCGGGGCCGGCTAGTGGCGCTAACAACGGGGTAGTCCCCGGCCACCCTCCCGCCCCGGGCCCGGGCTCGGCCCCTCCGGGTAGGGAAGAGGCCTCGGGAGGGTTTCCACAGGGGGAAAGGTGCCGTCCTGCTGCCCTTCCCGGGGCACCAGCCGACCGGGGGGAAGCACGGAGCTCTCCTGAGGGGAATCACTTTTGAAAAAGACGCCTGTTTACAAAAGAAGTGTTTCCACTCTAGACTCACGCATTTTTGAGGCTTTACATTAGGGGCTAGGAGATAATATAGGTCCCAGAAAAGAGCATTAAGCGCCCAGATTTCAACTCTCTGGGATGAAAAAGCAGGGTTTTGTTCTGATTCTCTCCCCCCGCCCCCTGCCTTTTTCTTGAAGGTGGGACAGAGTCCCTCCTCCTGACACTACCTGCTTAAACTTGTGCAAAGCTCAGGGCCAGGCTCCCACATCCTCCCAAATCCTCCACCGAGGTACAGGCTTTTCCACTCCTCTGAGCTTCCTGATCTCTTCAAAATGAGAGGCTGGCAGAGCCCAGAGCCCTTTGTTCCATCCCCGCTATTGTGACCCAACACAATCTTGACTGCGTCGACGCAGCGTTGCCACAGCACAACCTCCTCCACTCCACCGTCCGGCTCGGACAGACGGATGGACACGTAAGAGAACCACCACACACACACACAAAAATAGAATTAAATCTGCCCCAACAGCCGGTTGGAAAAGGTACGGCAGGAAAACGCGTCTATGTGCAAGAAGCCCCGGAGCGTGTGTTAGTGAAGTTGCAGAGAAATACGTGACCGTTGAGAACCCTGAAATCCATTAGTGGTTAAAGAGTTTTGGGGGTTTTTTTTGGGAGCAGAAACAGTGTCTGGAGCAGCCTGCTCAGCTCAGCTCTGGTGTTCCCAGGCTGGGAAACCTACTCTGCCATGGCCTCGCCGGCGTAGGCTGCCTGCAGGCAGCAAGGGGGCTATTTGGGAGAAATGATTTCATTAACATTTCTCTTCTTAGCCCTTTACTCCCTTCCTTCCTCTTAAATTTTACTAAGTGATAACGAACTGCAGAAAGTCTGGGGTTTTGCAGATTTTTCAGGGACATGTTCTCCCTTGAATCGAGCTATATATATTAATTTTGTTAGTCAGCATTACTAGTAACTAGCCCTGTGGCCTGTTGTACACTCACTAGGTGATAACCTTCTAGCTAAGTACAACTGTAAAAATACCCCTGCAAAGATCATCCTTCAAAAAAATCAAAGCTACTCTGCTCTTATTTCCAACTCTATTTTAACAAACCCAACATAACATGTGGCTCTCTCATCTCTAACGGAGGTCTTTCTTTCTACTTGCTTTCCATGGTGCTTGGCCAGCCCAGGGCTGTGTTGCACCTCTGCTGAGCTACACACACAGCAGAGAGGCAACAACAACCTCTAGGGTTGCTCTTCTGAGCTGAAATTCATGTATATAAGATGGCATCTAAATTCCAAAGCCACACTCATCTCACGCTCTGCATGATCTCCCCTGTACTGCACAGATACAATTATCTCCAAAAAATAAGCAGCCTACGGCAAGACCACATATAAATCTGTCACCAAACCGTGTTCCTGGCATCTCCCCTCCAGATCACACTATTCTGATGCCACCTTTTCATCAGAAAGTAGAATCATAGAATGGTTTGGGTTGGAAGGGACCTTGAAGACCATCCAGTGCCACCCCCCTGCCCTGGGTAGGGACACCTCCCACCAGACCAGGTTGCTCAAAGCCCCCTCCAACCTGGTCTTGAATGCTTAGTGTATTCTCTCCCTGCCCTTTGCATGGAAACACAAGACAGATTAGGTTTGACTTATTTTATGACAGATCCTGTTGCCCATGTGCAGCTGTGAAGGTTTCAGACAGCTCACCACAGCTTTCAAAGTACTCGCATTAGACATCTTACATCTATCACTGCCACAAAATGAGAGTTGAGGGGTGCGAGGGATTTTTTGGCTCTGCCACAATTACTTCATGCTTGGGAATTCTTTAAGTTTAAACACTAAAGATGATGTAAGATCCCCAGCAGGTACACAGGTTGGCATTTACAGCAGGCAAGATCACTGCACAGGTAGTAGCTAAGAAAAGGCTACTTTAAAAATAAAATATATAAAAATACATTAATCTTAACTGCAAGGAAACTGTTAAAATGCCTGGGGGAGGGAGAAACCTCCAAAATTTCTTATTTGAGCAGGAGGTGACTGCCAGACACTGAGTGGCTGCTTTGGAGCCAGGTCTCCCCTTGGCTGAAGAACTGAGCAGACTCTTGGGGACAGATGAGTGACAAATACCATGATAAGCAAGTGAGGCTCCAAGCACATCCTTGTGACTTGGTCAAAATAGCACAGAGGGCAGGGCAGCTGCTGCTCACGATTTTTTTCAGGGGCCTGGGAAAGTTATAGAGTAGTTTTAAGCCTGTAACACTGCATTATATTTAACTGATTTCATACAGGCAAGTCTTTGCATAGTGGAAAAACAAGTTACAGAGACTTTACTTCCACAAAACACCCCATCTTGTGTCCGCTGGATGTATTTGCTTAAGTAAATTAACTTCATCAAGTTTCAGCCTTCTACATTTGAGAACCCTCCTTAGCATTGAAGCCTCCCACGAGGCTCAGGGAAGAAGAATTGTCCCTTGTCATTTTTATTCACAGGACCCTGTATTATTTACCGTTGAAGTCAAGAAATAACACTTGTCAGCAGAATATACCTACCAGTGTTTTAACAAGTGATATTTTAATTTTGTTTGGAAACAAAGGAGGTTTTAGGAAAGAGAAAGAAAAGTTATGGATTAAGTTGCTACATCACAGATGTTAAATAAAGCATGCAAACTGTAGAGAGATGGAGTTTCGGGGGGGTCTATCACGGACAGGGGAGTAAAGAGTTCAGTAGACACAGCAGTTAACATGCCCAACAGCTATCACAAATTACTGTTGCCTAGCTTTGTTTATTGGTAAATCACTTTAGTAACCTGAATTCACAAATAAGCAGTAAATAACAAAAAACTACAGATAAACACAGGTTACACATGCAAATTCCTGTTCACATCTCACATGTGCAGGTACATTAAGAGCACAGTTCTAAAGATCCTTGACAAAACCAGATTTTAACAAAAACAGGGTTTTAAAATGCAGGTATGAAAAAATTACATGTGAAGAATATAAAGATACCTTTTTACATTTCAGGACTCCAATGCTGCTTTTGAATATACTAGAGATGTACGACAGCTACGAGATTCAAGTAAAAGCAGGAAGAGCTCAAGGAAATAATACTGGTCAGAGGAGAATGGGCATTTACTTTTCACTAAAAATACAGGGAATAGCTGAATAGGAAAGTCTATCAAGAGCTTAGGAAAAAAAATAAATCACAAAGTTGTAAAGCTGACTAGTCACTACTTCTCCTATTTGCTATATAACAGCAATGACATTAAAAGAAACTGCAATTCAACATTTAAAAATGCAACTTACATTCCAAGACTTTGCAAAAGTGAAATGCAATGACAGCCCTACGCTCCAAATTAAATACCTGCTAGGCTCAGACAAATACGGAATGTTCTAGATAAAATAAAAAATACAGTGTTACTTTTTATTTTTTATTGAGAATGGAATTGAAAGACAATTTCTGAAGCTTGAAAATAGGAAATTTCACTTAAATGAAGTTTTCTTCCCATCGATGAGCTTTCCGCAAGGGTGCAAGATTTTTTTTTTTTCAATAGCTTGAAGTGTCAAAACAAAAAACTTGTTGCCATTCTCACATTAAGAACAAATTTTTGTCATTAACTTAACTGCGTATGCTTTTTGCTACAACATTGAACACATGAACAGACCTATAATGCCTACTGTATTTCACTAAAACAAAAAAGAATGCAGTATTTTGAGCTACTACTTGTACTGCTTTTTTAAAAAAGATTAACATTAAAAACAAAGCCGCTGTTTTTTTTTCCTTACATCCTTCCTTCTTTTTAAGCTTCCTTCTTTTGCCTGTGGTCTTCTGCCATTTTATCCAGAATTTTCTGTTAAAAGAAA